GCTGACGAGTGCCAAGTAGCACGAAACCCGGGTCCAGGGCTTCCTGTTGACTACCTCCAACTACCATCTAAAGTATTAACATTGATATATGCACTTTATATTCATGTATAGATTCTGTTCTCAACACATTTCGATGATAATGAGATAGATGTGATAAGGCGACAAAAAGAAATACAACTAGGGAAACACACAAACAAACAATTGACAATGACAACAATGAAAGTGACAAAAACTTAACATTTATATGACCAGATAAACATATGATATTAAAAGATATGAACAGGATTATATTACTAAACAAAACACATGAATAACAAACCCCCCAAATCCATCTTTATGTATAGATATATATATACAGAGCATGCAAGTATTTTATTGTATTCCAACAATACCCAATCAAATAAGACACAAATACACACAAAAAAACACTAAACAAAACAATGAGCACTAACAGTATATAACTAAAAGATCTGTAAAGAATTAAAACAATAATAATAATAATGACAGCAGAGGATCAATGATAACGTTTCATTTATCATTGTCAACAAACTGAACAAATGACTGATTGACTGTACACATAAACATGATGAAATTATAAATGTGTTATATCCCGATAAGAATAATAAATGATAACTTTTGGGATCCATCTATGGACCAATACTATGAGTATATTTTTATCGTATAATTGTTATCTAACTAAACTGTTCATATTCATGTCGCTCTTATTATAAGCTTTAATTTGACCCATAGACTATTATTATACGATTTACCATTCTTGAGTTATGGCCTGTCTATTAATTACTATCTCCCTCAATCACAGCCATATTTGGCCAAATCTTGTATAAATGTTGTTTCCTATTTTATTGGTACGATATGGTCTGTCTGGTTGGTATATAAACCGAGTATGTTTGAAATAAATGATTCATATTGCAGAGGCTCAGATTGGTGTTCTGGATTCAACTGGCTGGGCTAGGCGGGAAGCAGGACCAATCAGGAATCTAGGTTGCTCGCACATGTTTTACGCGTCATTGATCCGATCGATAAGTCGCTACCCTCTAATCGGCGGTGTCGTTGCGTTATACAATGACAGGGCACACAGGTTCACAAGTTATAACAAAATGAGAAAAACAAAAAAATGAAATATCGATATATTCAGTTTGAGTAATTAACAAACATATATCATTGCCCAATAATAAGTGCAGGCTTTTTTAATTATGGTTTGACTTGGATCGGATCATGATTTGAATAATTTGTAACAGAATTTAAGTAGTATTGGAGTTTAGGATATGCGTTTCATTCTATCTAGGACTTGTCAGTTGGATGTATTCACATCTCAATATAGGTGTTCACATAGGGACTTGAACCTTAGTGTGCTTTACGTCCGAAATACCTAATATGTTGTTCGTTCGGCTATAATAATTATAGTAACATAATTAACTATAGTAACTAAATTGTTCAAGATGTACAATTTTCATATTATTAATCTAGAAAGGGTATATACAGATCAGTAAAGACTCTAATATAGTCCTCTAATATAAAAAAACGAGATAAGTGAAACTTCTTTTAATAAAGACTTAAGAATAAGTTAAAGAAGATAAATAGATGAAGATTTATTATACATCAAGCATAAAACAAATTTTTGTTTAAATACTCTACTTACAAAATATAAATTTACATTGATATAATAGTTAACTTTTGAATACATTCAACTATACAATCCTTTGCCATTATATGAACTTAATTTACAAATATCGTATGATCTAAATTCTATAATTCATATGTATAGAATAAATGACTAATTGACTCATATATTCAATTCTATTCAAAAATCATGTAATTAATTGATTATGTAATGATTGTCTATTATCGACACACAATAGATAGAAGAACGATTGATACTCATATTTGATTGATTATTGTGTGGTGATCAATGTCATGTGTGTCAAGTCCTTCTTGGCGCAGATCGAATGCTATCGATCAAGTTGCAATGTGGTCATTAGTCTAAGTGACTCGACATTGCCCAGTGGTAATGTCTCTGACTGTGAAGCTTGGATGAAACGGGATCGAATCCGTCAGGGAGCACCAGTTCCTTCAAGATTACAGGTACACTTTGCTGACGAATGCCAAGTAGCACGAAACCCGGGTGCAGGGTTTCTTGTTGACTACCTCCAACCACCATCTTATCTCAACGATTAATACTAATTGACTACTTTTATTTATTTATGTAATTGAAAAGCGATATCAAGAAGACAGTTGATTGATATTTAGGTCCTAAAATCTACTTGCATACTTAACCAACTGAAGTAAGAATATGAAATTTGAAATGAAGATCTTTTCATCAATAAAGTACCGAATAAAAGAGACATTCTACATGAATTTGTAATGAGTACTGAACTTAATGACAACAGTGCTGAAAAACTTGATAAAAATATTCATAAAGCAACATTGATTATTTTAAGTATAGATCTGAAAGGGAGTAAAAATGTGACCGGTTGGTTGAGAGATATATATTAAAATGAAGTCTCAAATGTAGACTATTGGCTGCTAACTGGACGGTCTAGTGGTTAAGCAGTCGCCATGGAACCTAAGTTCGAGACCCCGTGGGGTGGTGAATGAAAACTGGTAAGGATTTCTACACAAGGACGAAACAAATGTCCGGTACCTACTGTTTTCTAATGGTTGTGTAACTAATCCCAGTTTGTGATATAATCCATGAATCATTTTGATTAAAATTTAAAGATATCAAGCAATTGCGAATAGTTATACCATTATGCAGTTTACAGTGGGTTATTAAACAAGGTTTTTGATCTGATTGCTATCGATCAGGTTACTAATGATACTGAAAGTTCTTTCATAAGTTAAAGATACCACTAAAATTCAGGTTTTGTACAACGTCAACTGTCACTCCGGTATTATAAATAGATATTCCAAACAACTTGGAATAAAACAACAATCACACAGACCAAGTTCTTTCGAAAGTTATTATTATCAGATTTTTGATTACAAGAATACTGAAGAATACATTTTTAATTTAACAACAAACTGTGCACTGAAATCATATTTGGGGAAAAAAGCTTCATATAATACAATTCCAATAAAATGAACTACATCTGTTAGGCATTTCTGATTATTCATGATTGTTAATGAGGTGTGGCAACTTGAACCGATGCATAAATGTGCATGATCCTACGTTGTAGCCGACAGACTGAGGATTTACAATTGTAGCGAGCTCTATTAAAGAGTCGTTTTAGTCAAGTAGGAGTATTTGTGTGTTTATAATAATAATAACAGAAAAAAGAATTGTTTTCAACAGTGTTCTCAATAATATAGTAACGTTTTTAAGCAGATCTAAACAATGAATTACATATTTTGTAACTGGATTTTGATACAGTTAATTCTTGAACTTATGCAGTAGAAATAGGTCATATATTTCATAAATTATGTTACTTATTTATTTACCTGGTTTACCAAGTACAGAATTATGTACTTGGCTTCAAACTATTCTCTGGTGTATGCTACTTACATTGCCAGATATAAGTAGTATGTAACACCAATCAGAAGTGAAATGTCTGGCAGGAGAAAATTTAGAAGACCGATTTGAAGAGAATGGAAATATAAATAGTGTGTAATTTTTATAATAACAGGAAGGAAGAAACGATGAATTTCGTAAGAGACAATTGATGAAAGATGTATAACATTTTGTAATTTTGTGTAAAACAATAAATTGGTCTTCTCTACTTGACTTCTTCGTTTTTTACAGTACTATCTGATTGCCAGTACAGAAATAGATGAGGACAGATTCGAACCTGAGGCTAAGTGGTTGAAATTCGAGTCTTAAACATTGAGTTTCAAGACAAAATGTAATTCAGTAAATATTTGTAAATGTTTTCATTGGTTGCAACATACAGTAGTGAAAATAACGAATGCAAAGTGGAAAAGGGTAAACTTAGTGTAAATAAATACAGGCTTAAATAATTTGCTCCGAATTATACATCGATATTAATGGATGGTAGTTCAATACTGCAATACATAGTGGTTGAATGTCGACCTGCTTTAACTACAGAGTCATCATAGTGTCAAACAGGAAAATTTCGTTAACTGTAAAAGTTTAATATTTAAACTATCATAAAAATCTGTGTCTAATAATGTAAATGAAGAGTTTAAGAGTAACAAGTGAGTTATCTTTTACAATTATAACTCTAGCAACTAATACCTACTGAATTAAGAATAAGATGTAAATATATGAACTGTGATAATCGGTAAAGGAATATTTCACTAACGAAAGATTTAAAAGGGTGTTTGTTGGGTTGTTGTGAGCGAATCATAACGTAATGACGGATAACCTACCAATATACTACTTAATAAGACGTTTAAAATTGATTACATGCGAAGAATAAGATATGGAAACAAAAATTTACGGCTTTTCATAGATAGCTTAAAGGTCTCTGATAGATAAAATCAAAGTGCAGTGAACAGAACACGGATGGGGACAATCAAACGTATTTAATACAAAATTACAGGACTTGTTAATAAAATCTAACAATCATAAAGTAAATGCTTAATTTGCGAAATGTCCATCAATTGTCTCAAAATGACTCAGACTTCATTGTTCTTGCATTTTCATACAAATTGCATCCTGTTTCCATTCTTTACTGTTCGATCGTCTTGTCTTTCTGCTGCCAGACCTTCTGTTCACAACTAATATCATATACTACTTATGTCAATATAAGTAGCACACATCACAAAAGAACTAATTGTATAAATATTTATCCGTATGACTATAAAGCATTCTTCATTCAGTTCATAAACATTACTTCGAACTCTTAACCACTGCTGCTTAATTTAACTGTAAATCTTGATCTTAATCCAAACTATTTCTTAAGGATATTTATGCAATAAACTATTCACGTATAACGTTTGTATTCTAATTAGTTAAAAATTGATTTAACTTTCTCAAAGTCAATTCAGCAATTATTAGAGGTTTTCAATGGTGGTCTAGCTTCAACTGACTCATGATTTCAATCTGTGAAAATTTCTAAAAATCTCCACAAACCCCTTCTGATAATTATTAAAGGGATAATTTCATCCATCATTCTTTCAAATGGATTATATTAAATGTTAAATATAAACTTAGTAAAACATTCTAATTTTTCTAGTTCACACGGTTCCGCTTTGTATTAGCTTAGTGTACGTTCAAAGTTACATGACGGCTTTTTGTAACTATCTATCTACATTGAACTGTTAATTATATCAGAAGGGGTTTGGTGGATAATATAGTAATTTTAATAGTTGAGATCATGAGTCAATTGAAGCTAGACCACCATGGAAAATCTGGAAACACTGGACGACTGTTTCGTTCTACCATGGGGACTATCTATGGTTTTAAAAATATTTATATTCTTTTATTTAAAAAAAAATACACAGATGGATTGTGATTAACAGTGGAATTGAGGGCATTCACTTCATACTGTATAGGGAATTTATCAACTGAATGCACTTATATGTCTGTTGATATTCTGCTCAAATCTACATGTAAATAGAAATGAATGTTTGGGCATAGAAACCATTTGAAAGTTTGAATAAACATTGCTATTATACAGTGATACAAAAAAGTTTGTAATGCTACATATACTTCAAGAAAAGTTATGTGTGCAATCCGATAGTCAAGTGTAATTTTGAGATGCTACACTATTGAGTTATACATATTAAGTACGTGCTGAATGACACTAGCTACCTGTCATCACATAAAAAAGAAAAGACTACGTCGTTGAAACATCAAGATGAATGATTACGACATTCAAATAATTACGTAATAATAGAGTATTAGAATAAAGAGTGATAATTTGATCAAAGAATTTTCATCAGTGTTTATGAATTGGTACTTCAGTCCCAGCTACATAAAAAGTTTTAGGGATTAAGTAAATCATATTAATTTATGAAAAAATTTCCATAATTACTTAGCCATAATGGATTAAACAAACAGTACAATTCATCACTATATTACTAAATAAACTACCGTTTTAAGCAGAGTTGAATAGTAGGTAACAGTAGAAGCCAGGATGTGCTGTTCGTCCTATTGGGAACTCGTCTGAAATCCGCATAGGATATTCCATAGCCAAGAGAGTGATCACTTGGAGAGTTTAACATCAACAACGGGAATATTGGAATAACCAAAACAAAAAAATTCAACTAATCTTTTTGTTATTTTTATCCAAACAAATCCACTGATGATATCGTTCATTCAATCATTAAAATCAATCAGGCTATAAAAATAATTTATTATTTGATTATTTTCATGAAAGGAAATCGGCAAAACGATAAGGCAGTGTGAGGGGAGGGACAAACTTACTTTCCGAGATTTTTTCTTGTATACAACTGCCTTTTTAGTTTCCTGTCGAGCCTCAGCAACGTAATCCTGTGTTTGTTTAACGTTGACATCGATTCGATCAACAAGTTCACCCTAAGACATCAATTAATTTGGGTAGAAAATAAGTGATAACCAGCTACATAAGTGAATACTTATTTATGTATACTACAGAACTGAAATGTTAATATAGTTACCAACGTCGCGTTAAAACAGCTTACTTATTGATAGAGAACAATACAAAATATGGGTAATTATAGTCCTTGGATTCTGAGTGACAGTGGCATTCTAAGTGTTATAACAACGGGAAATGCAAACACATACTAGCCAGTAAATATCGGTTTAATAATTTAATATAACTGGACTCAGTATGTTAATAAGCAATGTGTTGGGTTCTGAATAATAAACACTCGGTTGAAGTCCCAGTGTAAACATTCGAACAAATGTACAACTAGATGATGATTAATAAACAAGACGGAATCAGTGTCCTAGATTCAACTGCTAATCATGATTTAGATATACTAAAGTCTCATGAACATAAACCAAGACCGACACATCCACTCATATATATATAATTGCAAAGCTGATAATCAGCAACAGGAAAACACAAACTCTTACTAATAAATAAGAGTACCCTTTACATGGAATGCTGACCAATTTCTAGTTTTCTCAATGTGTATTAACTATAGTTATCTATTCACTCCGATTTCTGTAACTAAACATCACAGTTACCAGTGGCAACGCTGTTATTAGTACACCACTCTTGGAGCATATTTAATGCATTTTCAAAAGAACTGACTGTGCTACTTGGACTGACAACAGTGAGCCAGAGAATGAAAGTTACAAAATAATATCAACAACACTGTATTAACTAAGTCATTTGAGGAGTTCTGAAATTGAATGACTCATTCTAATAACATAGCTTGTTTCCTCTAAGTCGACGAATGTCTTCATAAAAGAACAATCTCTTATATAATTTATCGTATTCTCTCACTCAACGACACATTTTGACAAAAATTCACGATTGGTATAAATAAATATTACATTAAAGTCAATCAATAAAACTACAATTGGACAGGGATAAAATAGGCCTATATTGGAAAACTTGGCAAACAGTAGACTTTCACGACAAAGTTTGAAAGGTATAGATTATTTTATTATTTATGACTCTTGCCAAATCTTTTTTTCTTCATAATCAGCTGATAAGGTCAGTGATAACCATTATTTATCTCAATTCTAATATCTTGATCAATTTGACTAATGATTATGGTACACAAAGCTTTGGAATCCCTTTAATCCACTACATAGATTTAATCCATATTTCAACTGATAGAAACCAAAGTAGGCTGAGTGAAAAATAATACTCATTAAAACAAGTGATAAGCAAATATATATTGAATAGTCATTTAAAGCAAAATTCTGAAAATCTATCAACTAGTCATTGAAGAACTACTATAACCATCATCAGAAAAGTACAGGTATTTATAAACAATTGTCTACGTAGGATACTCAATGTCCGTTGACCGGATACCATCAGTAACAACCTATTGTGGGAGAGAACAAACCAACTTCTAGATAAAGAGGAAATTAGGAAAAGACGTTGGAAGTGGATAGGACGTACATTGAGGAAATCAACGAAATGCATTACGAGGCAAGCGCTAACTTGAAATCCTGAAGGAAAACAGAATAAAAGGAAGACCGAAGAACACACTGCGTCAAAAATTGGAAGCAGACATCGAAAGGATGAATAGCAATTGGAATAGATTGTCCAGGACAGAGTTGGATGAAGATTCCTGATCAGCAACCTATGCTCTTTCACGAAGAGTAACAAGGCGTAAGTAAGTCATTGACTGTAGTTGGTAAATAGAAAACAAAAAACTAATTCAGATAATATCGACAACATAATTTTGAGTTAAGATGAATTCTTATTGTATTTTAAAATCTCATAAACTTAAGTTCTAAGTTAAGCTCATTTACTAACAAGACAATTAAATAAAAGCTAGGTTAATTAATATACAATTAACAAACTTGTGTTTCAATCAATGAAGCCATATCGATAAATAAATCGTGTAATTCTCGAATACTCTTTTCTAGTTTCATAATATCTTCATGACGGGCTTCAATATCGGCTAGATTTTGACGAGCTTGTTGAGTATCTGTTATAATCTAAACAAATAATGAAAAAAAATGAAAAGAAATCTAGTCCATCTGTAACCATTGATCTATTCAAAATATACATGATAAGTGAATAAGTACATGTACACTGCAAAAAACAAAAAGCGAATCGATATTGCACCAATTACAGAAGGGTATTGAAGAAAATGTTCACAACAATGAAATTGAATATTGTATTTTGCAATCGCTTAATAATTAAAGCTGAAAACAAAGACAGATCGACTGAATTCGTCACAGTTACATGGAGTATATAATTTGGAAAGTTTGTTATCCGATTTCCTAAACATAATCTGGTCGGGTTGAATACAAAGAGTAAATAAAGGACAACAGTAAGAGCTCTATTCCTTTTTACTTGAATAAAATTGGACACATACATTCACGAGGGTTTGAGTTAAGCTTCATAAGTTATCTCCTGTGTTCCATTATATATATACATATACGAAGGTCTACGTGTCCGTTATTTGCATTACCATTCATATCTATAAACCAAATGTTTGCGTTCAAAAGAAATGCATACAGCCACGCTCCATTCATTAGTCACCAACATAAGCAAACCAAAGCAAAATATTTATTCTTTTCTTTCCTTTAAATTACCTGTACATTTTGTATTATTGTGCAATGCTAATATTCCTCTCTTTTCTCTTATGTAACTGTTGTTGATATTTGATATGTTATGGAAAATACTTTGTCAATTCTATTACAAGATATTGTGTAGTCTGTTGACAGTTGAACAACATGTCACAATTCATTTTAAAATATTTACCCTATCAAACGTCTTTTTGCTATTTGACTGGTCAATCGACTTCGTTTTCATAATCAGTTGTCGAAGTTGTGATATTATTGTGTAACAATGCCAAGTGGGTGGTGTTATACTAATAAAGTGAAGTATATAAATTACTTACAATAGATATGTGTAGACTATTAGGTTTTATAGCTCATATCATGGACTGATATTATATTAGCATCCACTGACGACCAAACAACACTTCACAACTGTTTCGCCGCAGTATGGGACTTCTCAGAAGTTTTCATTGACGATAGTTGTGGGAAATAATCAGTTGATTGAAGTTGGAAATATAAACCACTGGATGTTGGCTAGAGTTTAAGCGCTTACACAAAGACCCGTAGGTCCTGGTATTGGTCCACCCTTGGTCCTGGATGAACACTGTTGAGCAGCCCTATATTAGGACGAAACAGTTGTTCATTGCTTCTTCCTTCTCAATGGTTGTTTAACTAAGATAATTTCGTGTAACGGAGTATAAATTACCTTAAAGACATGACGAAAAACTAACTGGAAAATTATGTTTCGAACTAAGAAGTACTGCTTCTCAATTAGGTCCTTGCGAAAGCTCTACATTTATATATATATATATATATATATATATATATATATATATACCCATAGGAATATAAAACAGCTTTCATGAAAATAAAAGAACGTCATAGTAACCAGTCAAACAATTGTTATTATCTTTTTTAATCAAATAATCTGGTATACGTAAGTATTGTAATAATTTAGTCAAACCAGGAAATGTTAGTCTCAGAGTATCTAACTATCATTTATTCTGTTTTATAGATAAATTAGTGAATTACGACTAGACGAGAATAAGAAAGCATTTAAATGAGAACTATTGCTAGGTTTCTTTGCCAAAAATAACGTCATTTTTGATGGACGAGTTGATTTATAAACAGTGTTTTTTTCCCTAGAATTGATTGGATTTTGGCTGGTAGTGGAATTCTGGATGTATGTTTCGTTCTATTCGAGACTCGTTGACTGGAATTGCCTGCATAACTGTGTTAATGTTCAAACAGTGACCTAACCCTAAATAACGTTGATTTAATGTATGAATTGATATGAGGTGATAGTAATTACAAAAAGTTGATCTTTTTACAGTTAGTACTTAACTAAATGAATGACTAGGCATGTATAAATGGTTGATATGTTTCCCCCAGATAATTTGATACATGATTAATTTCGATCAAGTATCTAGGATAATATGGAATCAAATTTTCAGACTTCATTCACATAATAAGAGATTTATAGTAGATTTTAATTACGACTCGTGTTGAGAGGCCATACAACTACATGGAGATCGGTCTATAGAATTAATTGAAAGTAGGGTTAAAAAAACCGACAGTTTTACCAAATAAGTATTTATGTATTCGGCTTTAATTCACATGAGTTATGTGACCATTAATGATACTAACAGGTCTCGCAAACTGAATTAGGTGAAAAGGCTTCTAAAAAGCCAACTATTGGTTGACAGGAATGATAAGGTTAATTTCAATGTGACCTAAGAGGATGGTTTGCTGGAGTTCAAACATGCGACCTACTAGTTGAAGTTGACTGGCTAAACTACTACGTTACCTCTATACAAAATTTTTATCTATTACAATTTATAAATATAATTATATTTAACGAGATAAAACAGATAATAGAGATGTAGATAGGTTAATAGTGAAGTGGTAGATCAGTGTGGTAAAAGTACTTTACCTATTATAAACTTTTAAGTATTCTATGAAGAAAACATAATGAGATGTATAATCCAGAAAAGTACTTACTCCTTGAGTAAAAATCTGTGGATTTCCAGATTCAAGCATATTTTCCAGTTCATTATCTGTAACTGACCGTTGAGCTATTTAAAAAGGAGAAGAAAAACAAAAGTACATTATTCTAACCACAACATAGTGATGGGAACTACCTAAAGTTCTTATTATTAAAGCAACACTCATTCAGTCGGTCAATCAACAACGTAGAACTTCGTACGTACATACATCAGTTCGAGTTGCCATACCACATTAGTACAGAGATACAATTGTCAATTCAAATCCCGTATTGCTAGATGTAGTAGAAGTATAAGAAGTAATCGGAAAGTTTTGGGGTTTGAAGATGTTATTACAATAGCATAATCCAGTGAAATAAATTTGGAAAGAGGGAAAAAGGGACATGATGAATTCAGAAGATTAGAATTTGAGAGAACACAAAGAGTGGATGCACCTGCTCCATTGCAAACGATTTCGAGCCATGTCATCTAAGGTCTCTAACCATCGGCTGCTATCATCTCGCAGATCCCAACCACGTAGTCTACACCTACCAACATGACTCAGTCCACTTGTCAGTGACTTCATGGATTTGTGCCATGATTTGGTCTGGCCGTTCCTAGATTTCTTCCATCGTACTACCACACCTCGTGGTAATCAGTGGTTGGGCATACGTAACACGTGTCCCAGCCATCTCAACTGATGAAGTTTCACTACGTCATCAATTGATTCGCCATCCTTACCTAGTACCCGTTTCCTAACTGCATTACTTACTCGATGGTTCCAGGATATACGAGCAATGCTTCGAAGACACCTATGATAGAATACCAATAACCTACGAATATCTTCTACTCTTACCGTCCACTTTTCACTGCCATAAAGTAGGATGGAACAAACTGCTGCGCAGTAAACCCATCCTTTGGTTGGTAGTCAGATGCCATACTCATTACAATAAAGATAATTGAATCAGAATTATAAGCAATAGTAAAATTTAGATGCTAGTGTTAAAACAGTATTATTTAACTAATGATTTAATTGAACACTATGTAGATATGGTGTAATTTCTCATTTTAATAAAACATCAATATTTTAACAATGATGAAGTTAGATATTTGAGAGGCGTATGATTGCTTTGTCTAATGAGACTACTTTAAAAAGAAGGTGTATTTGACGCCTGCGGATAAAATATTATTCATCTATGAAATAGTTGAACAAAATAAAGGTTATTGTAGAAGTAATATAAATTTCACGATTAAATTACTTCTTAAAGGTTTATATTTTATCATTCTAGAGGATTTGTGGAGATAGTAGTGTTTTAGAGGTTGAATTCACGAGTCAATCTAAGCTAGACCACCGATGAAAAATTAGAAGCACTGGACAGACGTTTCGTCCTTGTATGGGACTCCTTAGCAGTGCGCATCCATTCCGCGTCAGGTGTAAGACAGTTATCCACCTCAGACATGAAGAGTTGTGCAAGATCGTGAACTTATCGGAGTTAGAAATTAAACACCATCAGATCTCGACTCACTCGTCTAGAGGTTAAGTAATCGCGCGGGATGCCGAAGGTCCCAGGTTCGAGTCCTGCGCGCGAGATTGTGAATGCGCATTGCTGAGGAATCTCATACTAGGACTAAACGACCATCCAGTACTTCCAGGTTTTCAATAGTGGTATAACTTAATTTTATTTTTCTCGATATTCTAAAACTAATATGAAAATAACAAAGAAATACTTCCTATTTTATGTTTACTATTTTTAACAGATAGTAAGATAATTTCTTATTTTATTATTGAGCACAGTATGATTGACTGATAACATTAAAACAATGAAATCATTTAGAATTTAAATAGTGAGAATGACAGTATTGTATACGTAAAATTAAAAGTAACAGATCAGTAATCTTTTGTTTTTATTCATAGGACTGACAAAATCATGATCGTATTCTATCAAGACATCTATAACTAGCTTTTATCTTCATTGCGAAAGAATCTATACTAATTACATTCTTTTTTAATGATAACAAATTTTACATCATAGCGTGAATTTCCAAAGCTAAACACGAGTTCATTTTACCTACCTAAATTGTTAATATTCACTACGTATTACACATACCCAACCACCGACTATCACGGCGCGTAACGCTGACTAGTATTGGAGACGGCAGAAAGAAAGTTAGGGGTTAACAAATCAAGATGTGACATCAGTCACTAACTTCTTATCTAAGCCATGTTGGTAGGTGAAAACTACTTGTCTGGGGTTCGTGCGACTATCGTAACCAATGGTCGGAGACTATGGGTGACACGACTGAGAATCGATCACAATGGCGTAGGTGTATACACTCTTTGCCTTCCCTTAAACGGTGAAATTAAAATAACTTTGTACCGTTTCTTCTATGAACTAATTTTTTCTCCTCGTATCATATCCTTATATACAATCTTCTCTTTGTATAATACGACTATTGAAGTGACTACTTCTATGAATTTGGTGTTCATCTTTTTTGTGCTAATTAAGTATGACAACTTGAGCCGATGCCTATATGTGCCTGGTCCTACGTTATAGATAACTGACTACAATAATAATGATAACAGTAATGATAATATTAATTAGAACTTACCAAGATTAATATGTTTTTTTACTTAATACTTTCAAAGTCAAAGTTCAATTGATTTTATTTTATGTGAATAACTTGACAAAGAAACTCTGAATTTGAACTTGGTTTTGATCATTGTCACAATTCCAAGAAAGTTATTTCTTAATCACTTCTTTACCTACTATTACTTATTTACACCTGTTACTCCTAATGGAGCATCGGTGACCGACCAGCATTCTCAAACCCACTCTATCCTGGGCCTTCCTTTATAGTTCTATCCAATGCTTGTTCATTCTTCTCATGTTTGTCTTTATTTCTCGGGGTAATGTGTTCTTTGGTCTTCCTCTCCTCCTTTGGCATTGAGGATTCCATGTGAGGGCTTGCCTTGTGATGCAGTTGGGTGCTTTACTCAATGTGTGTCCTATCCACTTCCAGCGCTTCTTCCTCATTCCTTCCTCCGCTGGGATTTCGTGTATTCTCTCTCACAGTAGGTTATTGCTGATAGTCTTTACTTCAAACGAGTCTGTGGGCTGTCCTCTATATACGATTTTGCAGTTTAATCCATCATATGAGTTCTGTATGATAGTGACTATCTTCTGAGGCACGCCGTAGTGTCGAAGAAGTTTCCATAGTGTTGTTCTGTCCACGCTGTCAAATGCCTTTTCGTAGTCAATGAAGTTGATGTAAAGTGATGAATTCCATTCAATTGATTGTTCCACAATGATCCGTAGTGTTGCGATTTGGTCTGTACATGATCAATCCTTACGAAATCCAGCCTGTTGGTTTCGAAGTTGAGCGTCTACAGAGTCCTTCATCCTGTTTAACAATACCCTGTTGAAGACTTTTCCCGGTATTGAGAGAAGAGTGATGCCTCTGTAGTTCTCACACTTACCGGAATCGCCTTTCTTTAGTATCTTGATGAGGCGTCCTCTTTTCCAGTCTGTTGGTACTTGTTCTTCATCCCAAATCTTGCTGAAGAGAATGTGGAGTATCTTCGCAGTTATTGCTACATTTGCTTTCAGTGCCTTTGCTGGAATGTTGTCTGGTCCCGCTGCTTTGCCACACTTGATATGTCTGATGGCCATGCTGGTCTCTTCAATTGTTGGTGGGACAACATCGATTGGTAGGCCCGTAGGTGCTGCTAGTCAATTCAAGAGTTCTTTGAAGTGCTCTACCCACCTACCTACTATTAACACTCTAGATTGAGTAGTACCGTTGACTTATTCACTTTAATAATCACTTTTGCGTAATTCATAAGTTATGAAACTAAATGAATACACAAATTTATGAAGGTGAGAGAGAGAGAGAGAGGATAGTTTGATGTTAATCAATCATAATACAACTAGGAATACTGAACCATCTACATACATAAATGATCATCAATCATATGATACTATCATGAATTATGTAAATGTTACTACATTGAAATTATTGACTGACGGTTTAATCAACTTTCATATGATTTGTTACCATTAATAATCAAAAGCCAAATGTGACAAAAAGAAAACAAATGTTTATAACGTAAACAAAAATGACGAAAATACTGTTTATAGAAACTTGTCACATGAAGTTAAGTATTATTTGTTGTTGTTATTTTTCTTCTTTCTTAAATTGTGATATAAGATTAAGAAATAGTTTCTATGAGAAACAAAACGTATATAATTCGGAAACACCAAATTAAACAAATATGGTATTACTGTAAACAACATAATACACCCTTTGTAAATAAACAAACAAACATTAGTTTTCGATAGCACACTAGTTATGTCAGCAAATGTGAAGAATAATCGGGAGGTTAGGCAACTTTCAAAATAACCTTGAGAGATTTTTTAATTCCATGGAGTTAATCAGAAGACAGTAGATGTAAATGAATGATCTTGTTATACAAAGGGAAGGAATCTAAAGCGAATATATAATAATTTTAGATCATTAATAACTTTTGTAAGTTGGTTGTGGGTTAATATGTCAGGAAATTAGAAAACATTCAGTATTGACATTTATCCACATCACTCCTAAACAACCTTGAGAATAGACTCCACACTCACTGAACAGGCATTCGATAGTGTCTAACTTCAACCTATCCATGACATTCTATGACCATCTTTCATCATTTTTGTTGGCCAACTTCCTCACACCCGGCACAGTTTAGCTTTACCCTATACTGACAATCATCATGTGCTCACTAAAGACTATCTTCCAGAGGAAATATCTGGAGTTCTAGTGAGAACTCGTGACCAGTTGAGTTAATTCGTGGTGGGTATGAGGCAGTTACTCACCTAAGACAATGGATGATGGTCGAGAAATGTCATGAATTGACTGAAGTTAGACATTAACACCATTGGATGTTGGCTCAGTGGTCTAGAATTTGTGAACACACATGAGACCAAGAGTCTTGGATTCGATTCTCTGTGACGAAGTCGTGCATACACACCGCTGAGGAGTCTCACACCAAGGTGAATAACATCCATCCAATGGCTTATGTTCCCTGATGGTGGTTCAACTTAAATCGGTTCATGATTTCAATGAAATTTAACAATCTCTACAACACCATACTGACAATTATCTCACTATTTACGAGGAAAACAATGTAAAATATCTATGCTGCTTTCTATCTGCCGGTGTAAATAAATCTTTACATGCGTGTATTTTAAGGCAATGATGAGTTAAGAATGATAATAATTTCTATAAAATAAATTATCTTTATTGGTTTATTTATATATCATGCATAAACATAACAGGCTCACCAACTTCTAATTGACGTTTCAACAAAGCTTTACAACGTTCTTTATGCTCAATCTGTATACGACCATATTGATGCATAATAGTTGTGATAGTTTTAGACAAAGTGAGAAACTGAATGGGACATGAAAAAAAAAGGTTAAAACAACAGAGAAAAAAAGAATGTTTTACAACATATACAACGAAATAATGGTTAAATGAACTGAAATATAAAATACAAAATGATTATTAAAAAGATATAAATAAACAAAATAAAAATTGTTTGTTAGTCTTTAAATTCAGTTTAATATCAATCATGAGATTGGTGTAGTAACCATAACTAAGATTACTGCCTTATATAGTAGTGATCACAATAAATAATGTGTCCTATAAGCATCCTCAAACATAAACGTATATCCACGCAAAAAAAAAGATAACAAGATATCACCCATGTAAAAATATACATTAGCCTTATGAACAATACATTTATATTGAGATAAGAAGTTGTTAAGTATGTAATTAAGTAGACGGCTAGAAAACAAACTAATTTAGGGTTGTATGCTTAAGATGATGAATAGCGAAACTAGTGACTTATAGTTTTATAGTATTCAGCATTAAATGATCTATTGGACTTCTAAAACTTGATATGAGAAAAGTATAATGATCATGAACTACACTTATCAGGTCAAATAATCGAGAAGAATATGTGGATGATATGAACATTTTATAATATACATTGAGGACTGAACTTAATAAACCATTGAAAACCAAGAAGTAGTAGGGCAACCATTTCATCCTAGTATAATGAACAGTATAAAACTCAACAATCTCCATAAAGCTGCAAACTAATCATAATTATGTACTCATTAGTGAGACAATCCCTAGAGTTCTATTCACAACCTGTGAACAGTAGAGTCCAACTGAATTTGATATTATACATTTATTCATAAACAGTATGGTTACAAATAGCGTAAATTGATTGAGGTTAGAAATGTAAACAATAGGTTTTTAACATAGCAGTCAAAAGGTTAAGAGTTCATAATTGAACCTGAAAATGCTAAGTTCCATCTCCCGTGACATAATAGATGCGCACTGTTCAAGATCCTCATACTATAACTAAACAAATATCAAATGCTCTTTAGTATACAACAGTTGTTTAACTAGTGTTAGTTCGCAATATAAACTACTAAATTCAACACTCTCCACAAACTTCCTATACTAAAGAATGAAATATTATTAATATATTGATGGACAACAATTGTATAGATTATGAAAAATCAAACGATTAATCCATTTACACATTTGATGATTCTACATGCCCCCAAATGCCCTGATACGGCCAAGAGTGGGGACAGTAAACTCTCCCTCTCGAAATGCTCTCATATGGCCACGTGCATACAACCACTACCAGGAAAGTCCTACTCACTGCCTTCTCGCGGCATTACTGTTGATTACAAAATTCAGAGAACGAAAAGCGAATATCCTGTGCTTTAACCGAGTTGGTGGACACGGAGAGTCCACCTAGGGGAGTTGGAAAACCCTGACTCCAAACCAATGGTTCATATGGGCACCAGTATCCTAAAGGAACAAATGCCGTATGAACCAATCGTTGGTCAATGGCTACCATCTCGACTGCCTTGTGGATTAGACCTCCAAGTCAAAGACTCCGGGTGTGACCCTTAAGAAAACCATCTCCTTTAGTTTGAGCAACCGGGCAGTATCCCAGCCCTCATACAAATCGAATGATTTATGTGCTTCATATCTATTTGGTACCTTCTTGTAACTATATTTCTGTGTTTAAATAAAATAAATGTTCATTCAATAGTTTATTCAAAGTCAGTAGAATGAGAATTATAGTAATTGTTCAGTGTGCACAAATAAACAAAGAAATATTTTTTAAAAAAAAACATCCAAAAACAATACAAATATTATTTGTTAAACTATATATCCATAGATTAAAACAACTAAAAAGGTGAACTAGTGTTAGTTATAAAGTTACCTAACCACCATTTAACAACAAAAGAAGAAAAAAAAACGCTAACGACAAAACCACCAAAAATGACGAAAATATAAGAATAACGGTGGACAGTATAAATGAAGAAATTGAGCCATATAAATATACATATATGGACATATATATATTTTCTTTTGGTCAAAATTTACTTCATACCTATTTCCAATTGTCGTTTGATACGAGCTTTGTTAGCATCACGAAAATCAATTTGAATATTATTATAATCGGTCATAGCATCCATGAATAATTTAATATTTGCAAAATGCTATTTGAAATTTAGGAGAATAGATTTATTTAGATATAAATTTGATCCGATAGTTTTGTACATGAAAGAAATAGTATATATAGATATATTTTGTTCCTATTTTAATTGGAATTGATATATACAGAGTAAAACAAAAACTAATGATTGATACAACAAATTGAATTAATTTGCTGAAAATTTCTTTTTTATATGTCCCAGTATATCCCAGTCGTCTAGGTTACCGATGGGGACTTGTTGGTCGCAGGACAGATAACGGGGGCCGTCTACTGTAACTGTGCACAGACCACGACCTGTTTTTGGATAGCACTAACTTTCGGCACAGTCATCGCCGATGTGCCACCTGGCGTGGTTGTGTACAAGACTGCCGCTCCTTTTGGAGTACCTATCTGGACTCTGATCATGCCCTGGTCTACGCCAATCTTACCTTACTTTTCAGTGGACAACGAAGTGACCGCCACCAACGGATTGATGTTAGCAAGCTGGTTGCAAATTCTGTTGCTGGTAAGTATCGAACCGAGCTAGCTTCTAGGCTAGCTACCATTCCACCGAAAAGTATAGATGAGCATTGGTTGCAATTGCATGACGCCATGAAAATAGCGGGTACAGTCAGTTGTGGGTTCGCGAAACGTCCCGCTTATAAGCACTGGGTCTCTTCAGGCTCCTTACAACTCATCGAAGCCTGTCGGTCTACTCCGGGTAACTTTCTGGTTAAGGAACTGACAACGTTGTTTACAAAGGTCTAGGAGTTAGACAATGCACAAACGTCATGGAATGAGTCGATAGTTGTCCCTATCTTTAAAAAAGGTTCACGTCGTTCCTGTAACAAATATCGGGGGATAAGTCTACTTCCGATTGCGTCCAAGCTATTGGCTTCCGTCATTCTTCGTAGGTTGTTCAAAACCCGAGAAAGATTGACTCGCGAGGAACAGGATGGGTTTCGTTCTGGTCGAGGATGTATTGATCATATATTCACCCTTCGCCAAATGTTAGAACACCGCCATACTTTTCAAAGGCCAACAATCGTAGTGTTTCTTGGCATTAGGGCTGCCTTCGATTCGTTGGATAGGACTGTTCTCTGGGATTGTCTATTGAAGAAGGGTGTACCTGAGAAGTTTATTAACATCCTAAAAGCCCTGTATAAAAACACCTCAGGCAGAGTGAAGGCATACAAACACCTCTCTCCATTGTTCCATTCGAGCAGTGGGGTTAGGCAGGGTTGCCCAATCTCACCATTCCTCTTCAACTTTGTCATCGATGACATTCTGGAAACAGTTCTGATGGATGTAAGTAATGGTGGTGTGGATCTGTTGCCTGGAGAAAGACTTCTCGACCTTGAGTATGCGGACGATATTGTCTTACTGTGCGATAATGCCCAAGCCATGCAATCCGCACTTAATCAGTTGGCAATCAATGTCCGTAGGTATGGTATGTGCTTTGCACCTTCGAAGTGCAAAGTACTTCTACAAGACTGGCAGGATTCCAACCCTGTACTCACTCTGGATGGTGGGCAGATAGAAGTAGTCGAGAAGTTCGTGTATCTGGGTAGCTGCATAAGTGCTGGTGGGGGTGTGAGTGATGAGATCAAAGCACGTATAGTGAAAGCTAGAGCGACTTATGCCAATCTGGGCCATCTTTGGCGCCTTCGTGATGTTAGTCTGGCTGTAAAAGGTCGGATCTACAACGCGTCGGTGAGAGCAGTTCTGCCCTATGCTTGTGAAACCTGGCCTCTCCGAGTTGAGGACGTTAGACGACTCTCTGTGTTCGATCATCGTTGTCTCCGAAGGATTGCTGACATTCAGTAGCAACACCATGTTAGTAATTCAGAGGTTTGGCGTCGTGTGTTCGGGCACAGAGATGATAATTCAATTGGTGTCACCATCTTGAAACATCGACTTCGGTGGCTTGAACGAGTTCTACGAATGTCGTCCCAAAGAATTCCACGTCGTGCATTATTTGCCGACTCTGGGACTGGTTGGAAGAAGCGGAGAGGTGGTCAGTGCATGACATGGTGTCGTGGCATGAAAGAAAGCTGCAAAAGACTGGTTTCTGTTGGTCCTTCACGACTCCCTGGCCGGGGTTCGAGAGATGGTGCTACACAGTGGCTAGAGACGTTATCAGATATGGCTCAGAATAGAAGCCAGTGGCGATCCCGCTGTAGCGTTCTTTTATTTTCTTCGTTAAAAAAATGGTTGTTTCTTCCTTGACTGAAAGATTTCCTCTGATTGCACCTTTCCGCTTCCCCTATTATTATTATTATTATTATTATTATTATTATTATTATTATTATTATTACTATTACACTACCTTACACTATTGTTCTTTTTTCTCTCTTCGAATTCTCATTGTTTTGTGTGGCGCATATATATTTGGTGCCCTCTTGTACCAATACTTATGTGTTCAAATAAATAAATAAATCGGTTTAAGCACCTCGGCAGTATCCTAGCCCTCACATAAATCGAATGAAAGACGTATGAATTAGCAACCTAATTACTACAAGTTGTGATTTAATTAGTGAAGCATGATTTTTGAATTTTTGGAATAATTAGTGCTCTCTGATTGTAAGAACGAGTCACTAGATAGGGAGAATATTAGTAAGGAGAAATTAGTGTATATATATAATATGTACACCTAGCCTTCAGTTATTCATCTGCATCTACAATTCAGTTAATCCCAAACTGTCTGCTTTCCTGATCTCCAAGTTTATGCCTACTCCGTGCTTTCTGGCGTACTGAGGCTCTTCTCTCTGTCTATTGACTGTAATGACTTCCACAACACGTTCCGCCACATACTACTTACAAGCAATCTTGTCAGTAACATTAACGACATTGCTGTCAATGAAATTTCAACTTACATCAACAGGTGATGAATACAAGCTATAGTAACCCTCCTACAATTAATTTTGCTTATGACTAGTGATGTCAAGATCTTCAATAAATTTATTAAACGGATAGTGTTATTCGAATGGTAACAATTTGTCTATTTCTTCGTAATATTAAGATTGCTTCATGTCTATAAACGTGTATGCATGATCACCTGTAACAGCCCATACATATATCTCTCTAGCTTAAATGTTAATCACTTAGATATCGCTCGACGAATCATTCTCTTTCGTATATATATATATATATATCACAGGTTGAAATCATGAGTCAGTTGAAGCTAGACTACCATTGAAAACCTGGAAGCACTGGACGGCCGTTTCGTTCTGGTATGGGACTCCTCAGCAGTGCGCATCCACGATCCCGCACCACGCGGGGCTCGAACCCAGGACCTACTGGCTTCGCGCGCGAGCACTTAACCACTAGACCACTGAGCCGGCAAATTGAAACTAGTCTAGTGATTTTAGTGGTTAGGCATGCACAATGATACCTAAAGATGCTGTGGGTCTAATCCCTGTTGATGATATGAGTATATATTATTGAGAAGTCCCATATAAGGATGATATAGTTACATCCAATACTCATACTAGCTAGCTTTCAATGATAATCCTGTCCCATAAACTGACATTACATGTAACTAATACAATCACCTACAAATATGATCCTAATTGTTAACTACGCCAACCGACTACTAGGTATTCATTTATTTTCTAATGATAGGAATACCAGACGAAGAATAACATTTTCCTTAAAACACGTTAAAATTGATAACCGACAAGACGATGATCATGATATAGTGATATAACAGTTAAAGTACAAGATTATTATTCTGTCAGCTACATTTCTAGTTCTGTTTCTAATTAAATGTTTAATTTTAAATATATGAACACAGGTGAACTTGTTCATGACACCAATAGCTGCTTAATAACTGGAACTACGTGTATTGAAAAATAATTTTTAGATGTCATAATTGAACTAGTTATGACAGGAAAATTTTGGTTAGAAGGAATTTTCATTATCACAAGTAAAAATTATGTTTAGATTTTATCAAGAAGTCGTTCAGTTACTTAACACATAACTGAGCGAATACAGAAGAGATCAACAGTGATCAATTATTGACTTGTGTACGACGTTATGAGAAGTAGATTGAATATGTGAAATTCATAAACAATATAGTGGTTCTTGATTTTGAAGACGTTATCTAAACTTAACCAGGTTGAGTTACGGCTATACTAGTAATCATTGGGTTAAATAACATGTAACCTTATGTGTACCTACTACTATTACGGGTATTATCAGACTACAGATACAGCTGGTGAGCAGTGTAATTTTTGGTTTTCGATTCACACTTTAATTGATGTTCATTCGTGACGGAAATTTTCGTTTAGAAAAGATAGTTACCTATATCCATTACTCACAGTACCATTCGACTTTATTAACATGCTTCAAAATTCCCTTGAAGCAATCTTGATAAACATTCATATTGAAATATGAACTAGAATGGAGTTATATACTATTTTATTCATCAGAACTAAGGATCGTATTCCCTGTTAAGTACCTGACCCAAGAGTGTATCAAAGGAAAAACTGCTGCTTTCAGCCATCTCAATGAGTATCTATCAGTTTACTTGTTTTCGTACGGCACGTATTGGTCTCACAAAGCATGTTGCTTGCAAATGCATATCCGGATGCTACGAGATATGGTACTTGAATGAAGAATGCAAATTAATCAATAGTTCCATGATCAGCATAGCAGTTTGTGGAGGTTATTGAATTTCATAATACACATCAAGAAATGACCAAATTTAGATAACTAGTGAAAACTGGGAAACACTGAACAACTCTTTTAGCTTATTAAAGAAACCTCAGTAACGAGCATCTACAGCGTCATCGGGGCTCGAATACAGAACCTCCAGAAATAGAGGTGAGTACTTAACCTTAATGATTTACATTTCTAACTTCAATTAATTCGTGATTTTGTACAACTATCTTTCAGTACTTTAAGTGGCTAATTGTCTACGGTCAATCCATGATATAAACTATGGGATTTAACAATCTTCGTAAACCCCCATATCGATCATTACCATGTGCTTATTAACGACTAGTCTTGAAAGTTAATACCTAAAGTTCTAATGATAACCAGTGGCCAGTGGAACTCAACCATGTAGGGTGGGAGGGAACTATTTACTAATGCCGGTGGAAGACGACCGGACAATATCACGGATTGACTGAAGTTAGAAATGCAAACTTAGTAGTATAAATATCAGCTGCTCTCCACGAGATCTGAAGTTTCTGGGCTCGATAAAGGCTACCACTTTGAACACTGCCCCATTTAATTCGAAATCCACAAAGTACTAATATTTAGTTTTGTGCCTGCTTTATTCTATTAATTATAAGCTCTCGTTTATTGTGTGAATTATTAGCAAATTCATTTCTATTTCAAAATTACTGTGATTTACATGTGACCCTTTGTATTTCATTATTTTACTCTAATACATTAGCTTGAATAAACTCGTATTTTCCTTATTCTTTGTGCGTTGTTGTCTTGTTGACCATATATTTATTCGTGTAGCTATTCTAAGTTAGAGAAATCAGGATTACTAGTATAGGGGTTGTGGAGATTATTAAGCTTTTGATTGAGATCTTGAAACAATTGATGTTAGACCATCACAATTGAAAACCTGGAAGCACTGGACGGCCGTTTCGTCCTACTGTGGGACTCCTCAGCAGTGCGCATCCACGATCCCACGAGCGGGATTCGAACCCAGAGCTAATCCTTGTCGGGTAGAGACAGTTATCTACTTAAGTACAATGGAAGTTGGTCGCGCAATTTCGTGGATTGGTTGATGTTAGAAACTATCAACATTGGATGCCGGCTCAGTGGTCCAGTTGGTTAAGCATTCGCGCGCGAGACCGAAGGCCCTGGGTTCGAATCCCGCTCGTGGGATCGTGGATGCGCACTGCTGAGGAGTCCCACAATAGGACGAAACGGCCGTCCAGTGCTTCCAGGTTTTCAATTGTGATGGTCTAACATCAATTGGTTCAAGATCTCAATCAAAAATCAGGATTAAACCGGATATACAGTACCAGCTAGATCAACTCTCTCTCCGCTTATCAACCTGCCAGGTCATAGGTCAGTGGTAGGAAAGTTTTCCTCTCCATTCTCAAGGTCATCCAGTCACAAACGAGATTCACATGTTACAAGTCTCAAGGTCGTATTATGTAACCTACCACATCAATAAAGTAAACTAGATCAAGACAAATCTCTCTCCTTTCATGTCAAGCACAAAATAGTGGACAGACAAAACAAAGAAGACACTGTTATATAGTAAAATAACCATAAATACGATCGATATGGAACCGACGAAATGTGGCTAGCGGTAAGATCCAAGACGATCGTTTCATTCTATTTCCAACTTGAAACTGGCTATCATCAATACGACTGTACAAATTTGGTAAATTAAAATCTCGCTTCCAGAAAATTCTCTTCACCCTGAATTGTTCTTACTTTCCTTAATAATATACTACTTAAATAGAATAATAATGAATGTATTCACAAAATATACCATTCCTTTTTTTACCTGAGTTTTACGAATACGCAAATCAGCGGATGTAGCATCTTTAGCTTCTTGTTCTCTGATTGTTTGTTCCAATGCTATTTGGAAATTTGTAATAAATAAATAAAAACAAAACTGATAATGAGAACGGTCGAAAAGGATAATTTGAAAAATTAAACAATTTCGATCTAATTTTATAAATGAATTTAAAGTTAACCACTTTCTCTACAAATAAAGTGTTATAAACTGTCAAAATTGAAGTGTAGTCGAGTTTCCGATTTGTGACTGAAGGATTATGAGTTGAGTGCTAAATCATCCAGCATCAATAAGGATGTTTTTTATCGTAAATGGATTGGTCTACGTTTTAGAAATTCTTATTTTAAGTATATTTTTGATCATTTCCTAGAAATGGAATCCAAAACATATTTTACTCAATCTAGGACACATAAGCCGGATTACCTACATTCCAGTATTGATGGGTAGGTAGATATGAACTTGGTATTGATCAATTCACTGTAAGCTCACATCTGATCACAGTTGTTCGAACATAGAACATTTAGAAGGTTTATAAATACTCTGAGGACACCTTCCGGCAACAAAAAATACTAAAAAGCCTCTCGGCTAACGATATTAGATGTTGCCTTAAGGTCAGAGGTTAGCATGTGTTTGTATTATAAAACCTTCCAAATTAGTGGTGATCCAATTGATTAGTTCTGACTTCACTCTATTACTCACAACGAAGGCGATACTAAGAGGTCTTCAGATAAGTGTATATCCAGGAAGGCTTGGAAATTCGCAGATGTAGAGCAAATTTGTAATACTACACTAAAATCTTGAAAAGGTGTTTTAAGTGAGAGAAAAAGATCGACATCTAAAATTTCCAAAAACACAGAAAAACCTCTGTTTTCCGATCTACATGAGGGCATAAGCATAGAAGGCTGTTTAAACGACACGTCATTTTACAAAACCCTTATCGTACTTTATACTGAGTGACAGTATCCAAAACACTAATCACTCAGCAACTTGAGACCGTTTTGACAGAACAGAACCTTTGCTATCAAATTCAAGACTCAATGACAATGTAAACTTTCGGAAACAAAACAGTGAACTTGAAAGAAAAAATCACTTTAAAATTAAATTACAACGAAACTGAGCGCTAAATATACTTTAATCTAACTCGGTCTATGTCATAAGAAAGGCTTGATTTAGTGTCATTTATAATTTTGTCTTCATTGCCTACTTGACTGGAGTTGTAAGGAAAATGATGACCGCGAGATCGAAGTATGGTATTTCAAGCTAACTTATCATTTAAAAAGGTGAACTCAGATTTTGACACAATCGTATCATTTTCGTTACGAGGTACAGTTATGTATATATAGGCTGTAAAATACACATTGCCAAGGAGTCCCAAACCAGTATGAGATATATGTGTATTTCTCCCTGGATTTCAACTGTTTTTTAATTGATTTCAATTCGTAATGAAAGTTTCTTTTAAACAGTGTACTAATATTGTGTTTGGTTTCTATGTTTTTCAGTTATGTATCGAGGGAATACTCAAATGTTTTACAGTAGATCAATGGTTATGAAACCTGCATTTTTCAAGATACAAACTCAGAAGACATATGAGAGAGAAAATAATAATTATAAATAAACCCTAACATAAGTCTGTTGAGGACGTTAGATACCCAGAGCTCACTTGGAAAAGGTCCTAACTTTGTAATTTTGAAAATATGAATTTTATGTTTTCGCGCCAAGAGACTCTAAGTTGACCTATAGCTTACATTTCCCACTCAGAAACCTTTGACTGTTATTGGTTGGCAGACCTTTTTTAGTACGCTACTTTGTGGCCCTCCCAAGGGCTTTTCTATCATTGTATAAATGAGCTTGATTTGTGTGCTTAGTGACCTCGTATTTTCTGGAAGCTTGTAGAATACATTCTCTACGCCTCATCAAGACTTCTTGATCTAGTTAGCAAGGCCGGGGACAACGGATTAGAATAGCCTATCGTGTCACTGTATCTTTGACCTTCGTTCCCGTTTACCGAGTAAAATGAACTCGTAATAGCATTCAAGCATATCAAAGTCATGTAATAGTTTTTCTGTTTTCAAACTTAAATAGATTATTATCAGAATGGGTTTTGTGGAGATTTTAGAAATTTCACAGATTGAAATCATGAGTCAGTTGAAGCTAGACCACCATGGAAAACCTGGAAGCACTGGACGGCCGTTTCGTCCTAGTATGGGACTCCACAAAACCCATTCTGATAATAATAATCACCTGCTCACTAGTGACTGACTTCAGGAGACACTCCTGGAGTTCTAGTGAGAGGTCGTTACCAGTGGAGTTCAACCAGGTCTGTTGTGAGATAGGAACTCACTGAAGACAATGGTGTACGGTGGCGCAACTTCGTGGATTGGTTGAAGTTAGACATTAACACCGTTGGATGCCGGCTCAGTGGTCTAGTGGTTAAGTGCTCGCGTGCGAAGCCAGCAGGTCCTGGGTTCGAGCCCCGCGTGGTGCGGGATCGTGGATGCGCACTGCTGAGGAGTCCCGTACTAGGACGAAACGGCCGTCCAGTGCTTCCAGGTTTCCAATGCTGGTCTAGCTTCAACTGACTCATGATTTCAATCTGTTAAATAGATTAGTTTATGCGAAGAATATAGTAATGAAGTAATCTTGGTGTTAATATTATTTAGTCATTATATATATGTTACTCTTTCCTCTAACTTTTCATAAACCTTTTTCATTATACGAAAAACTAATTCATTTTTTGTTACACGTAGCACAACACTTGAAACTGTCTTATTTTTAACTTTGAGAACAAAAAGAAAAGGCAAGTACGTAAAATACTTCTTTTAAGTGTCTCCACAAGTGGCTACACATCCATTGAAATAACCATAAAATAAGTGGTATTCACCTACCATATACATATGAAATCTAATTATAATTTAAAACACAGGTAAGTTGATTATCCATATAACTTTTATTGAGAATATGTTGTGTTGTTTGGAAGCGATATTTTAAAAGTCAATCAATAAAACTATTCAAAAGCTAATCATGGTACCAGAAGTCATTCAGGTCTGGAGTTTTTAAACGTCACACTAGTAGATATTCATAAATCACCATCATCATCATCATCATAGAAAAGAAGACTACCACCATCTCAAACAGAAAGTGAGTTGAAATTCAGAATGACGCATGATAACAACAACACGTAGTACAGTTTATATAACGTATAGGAATTCTTATGTGATCAGTGAACCCAGTGGACACTAAATGAGCGTTTTCTAAATTTTATAACACCGTATTTTAGTTTTATCGATAAATTCGTACAACATTCAAAATGTTTCACACAACTGCAATCGTTCGATCAAATTGAAATAGATTATTTTTATTCAGTAGTCTGTCAGTAACAGACTTCATCAATTTAGAACGGATTTTATATCATCTGGAATATTCTCATGACATAAATTGTGTAATTTTCAATGAAAAATTGAGTAAAATTACAGTCTGATGATTGAACAAGTCAAAGCTAAAGAAATGTTAACATAAACAGTCAATGAAAAATCATTTGGTGAAGTGAATCTTTAACGACCGAAGTAGTAAGAACATGTGCTACGCAAGCCCAACCAACCTCTGCCTCCATTCATCATGTCGGCTAGGGTAGCAATAGGTTGGAAAAAGACTATAGATGGTCAGAAGAAGACGTGACATCAGTCCATGAAGTCATAAACTGTGGGATTGGGTTGTGTAGGTAGGTATAGACTACTACTTTGAGGTCCGCGCGACTATAGCGACTCAATATCTGGGGTTGTTGGGCTATAAAACTCAAAATCTGTTGTCATTGCTTAGATCAAAAGTTTTAAAACCACTTCACGATTTTCATTCTGCAAATTCACTAATTTCTTCAGAATCACATTTTCTGTGTTATATGCCCGATAAGAGTGGACTGTGATTAGTTAACGGTTACGAACAGATAAATATATGTGAATTGTAATATGTACTTTCCTAACCCTTTGTATTTGTTATATAATTTGGTTCGGCCATATATCGTGTTATTGATCAGTGTTTAGATTAAGCGTCTGACATTATAAAAATAATTTGCTCTAAAAAACTGAACACTATGAAACTAAGTCTAGTGTTTTTCACTACCACTGATACTTTCATTTCTGTGGGCGATGATTTTTCAGCTTAAACCGATACACATCTGAGCCAGTTTCTATTTTGTTTATGACTAATTAGTTGATAGTGACAGTGGAGTTTCAAAATAAATAAGAGAACATTACGGAAATCAGAGCATATATATAACAGGAACCCGTCTACGGTTACTGCCTCTTCCAAACCCAAGGGAAGGAAGAGTGAACATAGGGTTTACAACTTAATACCATAAAACAGAACTTTCTTTAACAAATACTAACAAATACCACAAAATTATAATTACTAATAATTCGAAGAAACAGTTCCAACCTCTACAATGTTTATTCTGTTATAACTCTGTTACTACTCATCTTTCTTTGTATCTTAGATACTAGACTACTAGGATATATTCATATCTATTAGTACTTGTTTATTGATTGTTAGTTGGCGCTATGACCAGCTCAATTTTTTCAGTCCACTTATTTTCCAACAAACTATCTAAGCAAAGATGGATGGTAACTAGCAGTGGAATCCAAGACGCGCGTTTCGTTTTATTTGGGACTTATCAGCTGGATATGCCTGCATCCCAGAGCTGATGTCCACTCCGAGACTCGAACCCAATACCGTTCGCTTCAAACACCATCGAGTTATTCACTTAGCTACTGAATCCTAATAGCCACTAGGTTGTGCAATGGGGTGACTAGCAGGTACATCTAGCTGAAGAGTCCTAAATAGGATGAAACGCGCGTACTGGATTTCACTGCTAGTCACCAACCATCTTTGCTTATAATATTTGTGACTTAAGGCAATATCAAGGCAATCCGCACAAGATGCACATATGCCAATAACAAACTCAGTCAGTCAGCCACAACGTAGAACTTTGTACGTACGTACATCAGTTCGAGTTGCCACACCACCTTAGCACAGAGATGCAGTTGTCGATTCAAATCCCGTAGTGGTAGAGGTAGCAAGAGTAATCAGGAAGATTAGGGTTTGGAGATGTTATTTAAAGAGTATAATCCAGTGAAATAAATTTGGAAAGAGGAAAAAAGGGACATGAAGAATTCAGAAGATTAGAATTTGGGAGAACACAAAGAGTGGATGCACCTGCGCCATTGCAAACGATTTTGAGGCATGTCACTCAGGGTCTCTAACCATCGGTTGCTATCATCATTATGATGATAAATACTGTAAAACTCAAACAGAAAAACTATAGTCTTTGGCGTATTTTCTTTTTTTTTAAGTATCTTTTGATTAAAACAAGAAACAAACCTACTGGAATTCAAGTACCTTATAAATATATATGATGGATGAAAAATGTAGTTATAACAAATGAACTGATAAGAAAAACGACCGAATACTTAGTGGAAGGTACCGACGGTTAAAAAGTATTATTTTCAAACATAAATTTGTTGCAATTTAACACAAGTGATCATGAGGATACTTTACCGTAGCAAAATTTATAGTACTGAATAAAGGTTATTATTATCATCATTATCAGGAAAGGATTTTTGTGGATATTATAGTAATTTAATAGTTGAATTCATAAGTCAGTTGAAGCTAGACCACCAAGGAAAATCTGGAAGCACTGGACGACATTTCGTCCTACTGTGGGACTCCTCAGCAGTGCACATCCACGATCCCGCTTTAATTGACTCATGAATTCAACCATTAAATTACTATAATATCCACGAAAACCTTTATCTGATTACAATCATTATATGCTCACTAGTGACTGTTTCCAACAGGTATTTCCTGGAGTTCTAGTGAGGTTCAACCGGATCTACTGTGAGATGGTAACTCACTAATGACAATAGTGGACAGTGGCGTAACTTCGTGGATTGGTTGAAGTTAGATAATAACACCGTTGGATGCCAACTCAGCGCTTTAGTGGTTAATCGCTTTTCCGCGAGACTGATAGGTCCTGGGTTCGAATCTCGCGGGGGGCGAGGTCGTGGATGCGCGCTGTTGAGGAGTCCCATACTAGGGAGAAACGGCCGTCCAGTGCTTCCAGGTGGTCTAGCTTCAATTCACATACGAATTCAACCATTAAATTACTATTATTACTACTGTTATTATTATTATTATTACTGTAATTTGGTTCGATGGAAACCATGTCATATCATATTACCCAGTTTAATTAATTCATGCTATAAATTAATAAATTTAAAAGAAAAGATAAATGAAAATGAATGATCAAAAAAAAGGATGTATACACACTTACATTTTAGTTTAAGTCGAATTTCTTTAGCTGAACGTGTAATACTCTCATTTAATTCTTCTAGTTGTGTTTTTGTTTCTATGAATTAAAAAGAAAAAGAAGAATAGTGAAGTGTTATTAGAAATTATAATTATTACTGATTAATATACTCAATGGATATCTTTGGGAAATGATAATAGAAATAAAAAAAGGTTAAGGGGTGGGGGTGCAAGACTATAATTTATGAACGAACCAATTAGATTTAGGATAATAAGTCTTAGATTTTGGAGCGAAATTCATTCATCCATTCATTTGAGTAAATAGCATTTTGGTATTTTAACTTATATCAGTTCGTGATGAAAACCATAAATATAATTCCTAACCTAACCATAGACTGTAAATAATAATTCTAATTCTTCATACTGCTTTGTAACCCTTATTTAGTCCCAAATAGTATATATATATATATATATATATATATATATATATATATATATATATATATATATATATATATCATACAGTGAATGAACATTTGACTATCATTAATTCACATGATACTAACGAGTGTACTACTTCCCATGGTTATTCTTTATTAACTGTTCAAACGGACTAGTACAACATGATTACTATCAATATTATCTTATTTCTCATTTGTAAATGCCCAGATTTCGAGATTATCAAACTTTAATTCATCAATTTCAGTTTGATTGTTTTCTACATAAGAAAACATTGTATGTCAAATAACAAAGAAGATAAAATGATGATTATTGTTATTAACTTATTTACCATGTAATTAGCTTTGAGTTACACCCTAACTGTAAGAACTAATGATACTACCCGGTTGCTGAAATCTAAGCAAGTGAAACAGGTTTTGAACTTGTGAATTAGTGGATAACACAAATTAATCAAGAAAAAAATAACTTGAAAATAAACTCATTTTAACAGATTGAAATCATGAGTCAGTTGAAGCTCGACCACCATTGAAAACCTGGAAGCACTGGACGGCCGTTTCGTCCTAGTATGGGACTCCTCAGCAGTGCGCATCCACGATCCCGCACCACGCGGGGCTCGAACCCAGAACCTACTGGCTTCGCGCGCGAGCACTTAATCACTAGACCACTGAGCCGGCATCCAACGGTGTTAATGTCTAACTTCAACCAGTCCACGAAGTTGCGCCACCGTACACCATTGTCTTCAGTGAGTTCCTATCTCACAACAGATCTGGTTGAACTCCACTGGTAACAGCTTCTCACTAGAACTTCGGGAGTTTTTCCTGAAGTCAGTCACTAGTGAGCTTCAACTGACTCATGATTTCAATCTGTGAAATTCCTAAAAATCTCCACAAAACCCATTCTGATAAAACTCATTTTAAGTTATTCATCATAAAAAGTTAGCGCGTGTGATCAATGAAACTAAGATATAATCGGCCAATGAGCGAAGGATAGGCTGACAGACGAACAGACAATCCGTTCAGTAACCTCTTTAATATGTGAATTCCTTTCTGTTATTGTTTTCTACTACAGACTTTATTGATTTTTAACTGCTTGCAAATATGTTGAACAAAGTATGCGCTAGTTTTCTATATTTGATCGTGAGTCTTGCATCTAGTATAATATAATCACAGTTTGTGTACATCATATTGATTGACTATCCAGTCAGTTTAATGGTGATATAATCTCAGGCACAGGTTATATTATAATATCATATCATGATAAACAGAAATATTCTTATTTTGCTATTATATCAAAAAGTGAATAATTAAAAAAACGTCCAGACAGAAAGTAACACTTATAGTTTTCCTGTTACTATGGCAACAATATTTATGGTGTAAAATGTGATCATAATTTCTAAGTATGTTTACCATTGTCTAACAAATGCAATGACGGATGGTAATCAGTAATTTTCATATAGAAATATCATGATAATAACTCAGGTTCATTTAACGGAACAACAAATAGTTGAATATAAAATACTATTCCTATTTCTAATACATTTTTACCGTAAGTTTTTTTTAAAAAAAAGTCTAATGTGAAATTTCCGTTACCGTGTGTAAATAATTTCGCACCCTGAAATTAATTAGCACTTTAGAAGTTATCGATCTTGTTTCTGTTTTAATAACAGTACAGTGTAAAAGAAAATAATCATCTTACTAAATCAAATAACCCATTCTATCAGTCAGTCAGTCAGCTATAACGTAGGACCAGGCATATATGTGCATCAGTTCAAGTTGCCATACCTCATTAGCACAACAAAATGAGCACCAAATTCATAAAAGTAGTTAATTTAGTGGTGGTAATATATAAAAGAAAGATTGCATATAAGGACATAGTGCAGGAAGAAAGAATTAGTTCGTAGAAAGATAAGAAGCGATTTTAATTTTATAGTTTAAAGGAAGATAAAGAGTGTATACACCTACGCCATTGTGATCGATCGTCATTAACTATTCAAGCGTTAATAACTGATTTAATCATTGATATACATATGGTAGTATTATTCTGTGATCAAAAATGATCTCGATCTCTAATGAATTAATACGATTGAAAATGATTTGAATCGTAAAATCTTAACAAAGAGCCTCATTATTTTAAATGGTTTGTATGTTAGACAGAAATCTAGTTATTTTAAATAGTCTTACTCTTATTCTAATATCATTTGGATGCTAATTTGATCCGTATGTACGAAAAAGAATTATGTATACTTTAGTCTCATTATGTCTTTGGAAAATATATTGATAGAACTTGTGAACAATACACATTTATCTCGAAAAAGTAAATGAATATCACCTGATTTATGCATATGAAAGAAATTAGATTGACATGTACTATAGTTTTGCATAATCAATTTGCTTGTAAGTGGAGTTTAATTTAATAAAAAGACACTTGCTGAAACACAAAACAGTATTTACTCAATCAATAAAAGAAACGAGTATAACTTCGACTTGGTGATCAGCCAATAACATCACCATCGACAAATATTTCTGGTTCGTAAAGTTAAACACATAAACATTGGTAAAAACGGGCACCAAGAACATATGCGTCACGCAATAGCAATGTGGCCAGTAGTAGTTATCCTTGATTTTTGAAGGCTGTGATAGTGTCCGAGTGCCCAAACCGGAGCAGGCGGTTTCCTTATGGGACCACACCCAGAGCCTTTGACCTAGAGGTCTAATCCACAAGATAGTGTAGCAACGCTAGGGGATGCAGTCCCATGGTAGCTGGTGACCAACAATAGGTTCATACGCCTTTTTGGTCTTCCGTACGCACTAACGCGGTTAAAGCACTGGATATTAGCTTTTCGTTCTCTCATTTCTGTAAATAACCCCACTGAGAGAAGGCAATGATTAGAACTTCCCTGAAAATGAGTAAATACGCGTGGCCATGTAAGAGCATTTAGAGAGTGAGAACGAATTCTCCCTACCCTCGGTTGTACCAAGGCATTTTGAGGCCTAATTTGGGCCTCGCCGACTTCATTTACTTAAATATCAGCGTTAATGTTCACATTAACACATAAACCCAGCATCTTTCGCTCCAAACGCTAACGCATTATCTGTTGATCTATTGATTCCGGGTAGTCAAGAGTTTGTGCAATGTGTATGGGTTTTATTTGCAAGTCCTTGTAGTTCCCCGTTGCTGATGTGTTAAGGACTGCAAATGATTAGCACGTCTGCATCCTGGAAGGATTTCCTCAGTGTTACCATCTAGTCACAAAATTATCATTCAAGATGAATAGTGGCTAACAGTGGAAAATAAAAGAGGTTTTAAGTAAAAGGTTTTGGACCGCATACTGTTTAAATGTGAATAAAAATGATATTACCTGGCTACCCAAATCAAAGTAGTTGTATGGGGGTCCGAACTTAAGGCTTACTGACAGAAAGTCACATGCTCTAACTACGCCACAGCTATCTAAAGTTTTACTCCACTGAACGTTAATAATTTGGATCGTTAAACCACTACTATGCAATAACTTTAAATGTGATCCAACCAAATGTGTCAAAATATCGAAGGCAAAAGTTGTAATACGATTAGTACATGTATCAATAGATAAGTAGTGAAGCAGCATGATATTCACGCGGATAACCATGAACATAAATTTAATTGGAAAAGTGTTGGAATTTTGGATCATAGAAGCTATAAGAATGTAAAAGAATTTCTAGGAGCATATCATTTAGATCAACTAGCAATCGATAAGCATATAAACATGAATCTGACATACCAGCCCATTAAAAAAACGGTCAGTCAGCCACGAAGTGAGAAGTCAACCAAAGAAGACAGCCAATATGAACGTAAGAAGTGAAGACAATAAAATCTGCGAAGACCATTAATTAAAAACAAAACCATCAAAAGAACTGATATGACGCTTATGGAGTAACTAAAAAAAATCTCATTGCTGAATAAAAAAGGAACTGATATCATCCATAACGATAATTAAGGCTCCGCAACCAAGCTATCCAGTTCAGAGAAGACAACACTACTAAAAACATTCAGCTTACAGTCGCAGAAGTAGTTTAGTGAAAAGGTCAATCGATGGCAATCAGAAGTGACCTAAAGGAAAAGGGCATTTCATTGGCAGAAAATGGATCAATTTCATAAAGATTATAGTGGTATATATGTGAATGAGTATTTGTGAATTTTATTCGGTAACCAATACAATTTTCCGCTCATTCTTGTGTTCTATCTCAAGGTAGTCAGTTTAAGGGGTTAGTGCGTAGCACACCGTGTATCGGAATCAGACATTTGGACACCGCCCATCACAACAAAAATCTCCATTATTTCAAGAACACGTGCTATAAATCACAACTCAATGGCTGACACTAAAATGTTTATAGCACTGAGACAAAACGCAATCGTTAATATACATACTATTCTGTTACATTCTTTTATATACAACACACTTCGATCAATAAAATTCATTTGATTTGTCCCAAACGAAAATAAGAATGGGTTGGAAACAAAACCTAATCCAAGATAAGTTGAAACATAATGGTACAGAAGTTAAATTACACAAATTTTTGTTGAAAGAATAATAGGAAAAACTTCTAGTTCCTTTCGAATTGGCCCACTTACCTTATTAGGATTTATTTCACAATGACAATAATGATATTATTTTTTTGAAAATGAAATTGTTCAACAATAACAGAAGTCAATTTATACCTTAACTCAGTTGGTCAATCATAAAACGATGTAGAACAGGGGAAAAATGTGCCTCATTTTAAGATATTATGTCTTATACCGGGTATAAAGAGAAAAAATTGACAAGATAAAAATCAAAGGAATTATCACAAAGTTCAGTTATCCTCTTAAAAACTTTATTAAATCCAAGATTATTTTTATACTACTCAGATAAATAATGCGTGTTGTATTATTTTGAGTTTTTACTCACTTGGATTTTGTTGAAGTGCTGACAAAATTTCACCATGTTTTGTTTTAACTTGACTTATTTCTATGCGAGTCTTTTCAATTTCTCTTCGAATCCATTCAACCTAAAAAGAAATTTTGATTTTAAACGATTACATTAACATAGATAGTTGAAATACTTCACTAAAGAAAAGATCCATTTGAGAACCACCATCTACTACGACGGCTTCTTCTGATGATGGAAGATTTGGTAGTTCATTATTCTATTCATAAAAATTATTGTTCAATAACAAATTGTTTTACCTGTCGTAGGACTGCGAATAAATCTTTGGCCATTGTTTACCGTACTAATTAACACTTGCATACAAAGACAGTAGTAGTTGTAGAAGTAGAATTAACTTAAAAATGAATGAATTTCTGTCATAGAAAATGAATCTAAAAAAGTGAAAGAAAACATGAAATCTTTAAGGCTTTGGTGTAGTATGTAAAAAACCAATAGCAAACAACAGATAGCTAGTCACAATGTGTCAAGTAGTAACAGAAACCAAAACTGTAAATTAATATACCATACTATGAAACCCGAATTGTACGCATGACCTGAAATATTTCTTAGTTGAGATATATTTTCAAAGTTTAATTTACGGCCAAATCTAAGCTAGGCCATCTTTAAAAACCTGGAGGTACTGGACGGTCATTTCGTTCTAGTATGGGACTCCTCAGCAGTGCGTATCCACGATTCCACACGAAGGACTCGAACCCGTAACATTCAGTCTACCGCGCAGACGCTTAACCTCTAGACCACTGAGCCGGGATCCAACAGCGTTAATGTCTAACTTCAATCGATCCATCACAAATTTATTTATTTTATTGCTCATTCAAACACAAACATTGGTACAAGGATGCACCATACAGATATCCGCCACACAAATTACTTGATTTGTGTGAGGGCTGTGATACTGTCCAGGCGCCCAAACCGAGACAGATGGCTTTCTTAGGGGGCCACTCCTCGAGCCTTTGACCTGAAGATCTATTCCACAAAATAGTGAGGCGACGTTAGGAGATACGGTCTCACGATAGCCGGCAGCCAACAATAGGTTCATACGCCATTCGTTTCCTTAGGATCCTGGAGTCAATGTTCACCATTGGTTTGGAATCAAGGTTTTCCAACTCACCAACTCGGTTAAAGCGCCGGACATTCGTTTTTCGTCCCCTCGATTTTGTTAGCAACAGTTATGCCGTGAGAAGGCAGTGAATAGGACTTTCCTGGCAGTGGTTTTATGCCATGGCCACCCCACTCTCAACCGTATCAAGAGCGTTTAAGGGCATGATACATTTCCCAATAAAGTTATTAGTTCAAATCCTGAGTAGAGAGGTGAAATGTTTAACTTTTCGGCAATATATTTAGCCAGTTTATTATGCCGATCATTACACATTAATTTCCTCTGTTCTTGCTACTTAGACAAGTAGTTGAAATTTACGAAATGAATTTGTCAAACAATGAGTCCGGTTAGTTCGGGCAACTGCCAGTGTCTGCGTTATGTCAGAAGCCCGTAGATAGATTTAGATGAGTATCAGTCATACATCATATAATTTCTTGAAATTTTTAATAATTTAAAATATAGAAATGCAATAGATTGAGTAAAACCGACATGTCAAGATGTTGCATATTATCTCAACATTATTGAAATGTGCCTTGTCAAAAATTAGCGAATTCGGTCAGAATTGTCGGATTTTAGATAGCTCGTTTTAAGCCGGTTGTAACATTGATAATTTGTCGTGATCGATCTTAGCTGAAGTGAGGGTGTTTATTGCTATCCTCCATAAGGAGTCTGTTACGTCATTGATCTGTCTACCCAATAATATACAGGAGAAAACTTGTCTCGATTTATGCTTAGACCTTGATTGGTTTAACTTTGAGGCTAGAATTGTGTGGGCCTGAATTGAGACTAGCGGCCTTAGGGAGATACGAAAACTTGACAAGCGAGAAAGAAGACGGGTCAATTGGAACAATACTCGATTTATTTCCGATTTCCAATCCAGTTTAGTGTAAAAAGATACATGAATAAACAGATGACTAACATGACCAAAACGAACAAACAATTATAAAAATACAATAATGTCCAAACTGGGCAGAAAAATGGAGGACAAAAGGTTACGTTTAAATTACAATTATAGAAAAGGGTATGGCAGTGAGTCATAAATCAAATGAAAGCTTATGATTTATAGAATAAAGTAGGGGAAAAACTAAATGTCAGTATTTTTGAAAAACCGTCTCCAGAAATAGTTTTCGCTCTGTCATGCTTTCCTTTGTTTCTCTGTACACAGCGTCTGCTACTTCCATTTTAGCACATTTTACGAAATGGATATAGGATGTGAGTTATGAGATGAATTCTAGTTGATGTACTTCGGGTAGACCATATCAATTAGTATTTCTTAACAAAGGTTTGATTAAGGTCTTATGGTCAATAAATATCGTAATGAAAATTATTGATTACTAGGTTATTAGCCAAAAGTTGTCCTCCAAAGGTATTATATCTTGTTTGAGTGCAAGTGGTTTCCAGTCTTTATTCACATGTTGTAGCAGTACTGCTTTAGTGAAAACAGTAGAGGCATAAGTCGTGATTGTCGAAATTGCTTCACCATTTCTTCGAACTACTGGCGTCAGTTTATTGCGTTTTTAATGTTTTCAAACAGTTGAATAGCTTTTGTTAACAGGAGTAATGGGCATGAGAGACCTCGTAATAGTCAGTTAGCGGTTGTAGTATAACAGAGCAGCTAGGAATGAAGCGCGGGAAAAGTTCACCAGTCCTAACAACAGTATAGTTTTAGTCTGGCAATGGGTAATACTTAGTAGCTTACACATCATCAGACGTTTAATCGACTAAGTTTCACGCCGTTTATTTATCGTATATCCATATGCTGATGACCTACTCGGAGTCAGTAACCACGAAATACAACAAATAACTCACCTAAAAACATTATATGAAAGGTTAAGTGGATATTTTTTATTAACAAACTTGATGAAATTCACAGCTAGACCTATGACCAGACTAAATATTTTGAGTTCTATGTCCCTGGGCTCCAACTAATAGTAAGATGGTAGTGACAGCTGTTATTTATTTATTTGAACACATAAATATTGGTACAAGGGGGTACCGAATACATACGAATATAATCCATAATATAATGATTATTTATTTATGACTGTATAGCCTGATAACAAAATTGTGGAAACAAATGTCCTATCAAATAATCCTTGTTTGTTAGCAAGGTTGAGTGTGAGCACAGGATTATGCAAACTTTGCTGAGTACTTTGCACTTTGATGGGACGAAGTGACATCATACATATGCTAATGAGGTGGGATTTGAGTAGTTGCTGTCGTTATACATCTAACATCGTATGTGTGTCCAAAAAAATATAATCCCTCAGGTAATGGATGCAAACAAAAATTGTGTACTTTCTTCAAAGTTGTCTCCATAACATAATTCACATGAAATATAAGGGGAGACAAAATTGTTAATTTGGGACATTATACAGAGCGGTGCTATATGCACTAATTCTACACGCTTTTGTATAAGATTCCCAAAGTACTGGTGGACCTAGTAACATCACAGTGAGAGGATTCCAAGAATTATATTGGTGAGACTATAATTTATGGACGACCCTTGAGCGGCGTAAAAGTGACCTTGAAAGTGTGCACCTAACAACTAAGATTAAATGAAGGTTATAAACCGGTGTGAGGAATTAAAATTATGGTTTACAGTTAATGGTTAGGAATTAGATTTAGAGTTTTCATCACGAACTGACATGAGCTATAACGCCAAGACTCTATATAGCCAAATGGGTGGCTGAATTTCGCACCGAAATCCGAGACCTGTCATCTTATACCTGATTGGTTCGTCCATAAATTATAGTCTCGACTTTATACTTCATACAAGTTAGTTGTGATCTCAAGAAACAGTGTGTCTGCTTCTGCCCCCGAATGCGCTGGTACGGCAGAGAGTGGGGGAGTCATTTCTCCCTCTCTAAGTGCTCTCACATGGCCATGTGCATACAGTCACTGCCAGGAAAATCCTATTCACTGCCTTCTCACGGCATAACTGTTGCTAACAAAATCGAGGGGACGAAAAGCGAATGTCCGGCGCTTCAACCGAGTTGGTGAGTTGGAAAACCTTGACTCCAAACCAATGGTGAACATTGACTCCAGGATCCTAAGGGAACAAATGGCGTATGAACCTATTGTTGGCTGCCGGCTATCGTGAGACCGTATCTCCTAACGTCGCCTCACTATTTTGTGGAATAGATCTTCAGGTCAAAGGCTCGAGGAGTGGCCCCCTAAGAAAGCCATCTGTCTCGGTTTGGGCGCCTGGACAGTATCACAGCCCTCACACAAATCAAGTAATTTGTGTGGCGGATATCTGTATGGTGCATCATGGTACCACTGTTTATGTGTTCAAATAAAAAACAAATATAAATAGAACGATGGGAACAGTTTCACACACATAGAGACCGCCCTTCCAAAAAATGGAAAATCCGGCAATAAACTTGCAACTAAATGAGTTGTAACTATATTTCGTGTAGGTTTAATGAACTGAACTTTCGCTAATTAGTTTTACCTCAAGGGATGGGGGAACTCGGAGTTGATTAAACACAAAGTAAATTGCCTGTGGCGAAATACTGAGGCCATTGTTACAATTTCGTTAGGAGATTGAGAACAGTACAATAAAAGCTGATGCTGATTCAATTTGTAAACAACCTTTCTGTTAATGCTAAAATCGAAATTACATCACGCATACAACATAAAACAGCATTTATTATTGTTTGTCAATGTTAGAAACTTAAAACTATGGGAATTTTATGGAATAGTACTGAGAAATCAATAAAATCTACAACATACCTTAAAATGAAATTGTTCTGCAAAACCTTGAAAATGCTCAAAGGTCTTTCAATTTCCAATATCTCGGGTGCGGGTAAGAGTAAATCAATTGGTTTCTTTGAGTTCGCGCCCAAGTACTTAGGTATTGTTCCATGTCCCTAACATCATATAAGTAGATTTTACGTGATGAACATGGTGGTTATTTTAACAGTGGTATGTATAAATCTGTGCATTTGTTCTAGGGACTTGAAGTTACCATAACTAACAGTCATCACATTTGAAGGTGGTCAACTGACTAGTTGTAATATTAAATTCCGATGATTGGAACAAAAGGACGAATAATGATCATATGAATCTAAAATGAAATAGGTTATTAGAGTTGCTGTTTAGTCATGAGTAGAAATAAATAAATAAGCAGGTAGAGAAGACGGTCAGATGGCAATGATAAGAGACTGGGTAGAACGTAGAGGGTTACTGAAGACAACAGATAACAATTATAATAATGGATAAAGTGTAAGCTGGTGCAGTCAATGTCGACAAGTCTGAAAATATCTTTCCCCATTATTGAGTATACTTAACCAACGACTGGAAACGTCGAGTATGTATATTATTTTCGAGACTCCTCTCGAAACTGCTCACTGGGGGCTGTATTTAAACTTCCTGAGTGTTTAGAGAGGAGTCTATTAGTAATAAACTATTCGGTGATCTGACCTATATTTTCACTCCTTAGTATTGAGTCTGTTTGCTTTTATCGGTTGGAGCTCAGTTCCGAAGTATCGTGTTTTTATCGGCGTCAAATGGAGTACATTACTACTAGGTCTTCTTTTATCTTTATGTGAATCAACTAGAACATTCATAGCTAGTAAGTTGTGTTTCCATAGGACTTTGCCTTCAGACCACTGGGTCGGGATCTAACGGTGTTAACGTCTAATTTCAACCAATCCACGACATTGCGCGACCGTTCACCATTGTCTTCAGTGAGTAACAACCTCACAACAGACACAGTTTAACACTAATAAACACGCTTTCTCACCGTCGGGTGCCGGGTCAGTGGTTTAGAGACTAAGCGTTCGCACGCGAGACCGAAAGTCCAGGGATCGAGTCTTCTGTTCAGAATCGCGGATGCACACTGCAGAGGAGTCCCATACTATGACAAAACGGCCGTCCAGTACTTTCATGTTTTCAATGGTGGTCTAAAATAGATCCATTCATTATATCAATCTAAACCCATTGGTCTCTCAAAATTAAATCAGGCAATGAAAATTTTCTATATTTAACCAACAGTCCATTTTGTACGCTCCATAGCTAACTGAATAACCGTTAAAAATTTGAAAATGTAACGCAGTGTACATGACCGCGCTTTGTTCCATATACTGCACACAATTATACTCAGAACAAAATGTCGTTATAGAGGCTTACGATGATTGGTTCCTAGTATGCTATATAATCGTTTTGATGCAAAACTACCACATGATTAGTCTCTTCGATCTTTCAACTTGTAGCTTCGATTAGTCTTAGTTTTAGTGTCTGGTTCTTGAGCATCTGGGCTACCTGTTCCTGCCATCTAGATATTTCAACAAGTTATCTATTGTTGTTTGTTTTAATATATCATTATGTCTGTTAATCGCATAACCTATTCTGCTGCGTTTCTGAAAAGTGTACAACCTTTCGTTGTCAAAGTTACAAAAAACTCAATAAGAGACAATATGGTTGCTGGCAATGTACAACGAAAAGAATGTACCAAAGTTATAATATTGAATAAAGCTAATAACAATAATAATGTCAATAATTTGGTTGCTTATCGAGACAATATCATTGGCTCCTGTTTCATAAACGGATGATCTTCCTGGTTATTCCACGAACATCTATAAGTTAATCCGTTCCAACGACCAATTAAATGCTTGACTATAATCGATATAATCCACTTACTGACACAATTCGGTCTTCATCTACTAGAGTTGGAATGGGATTGCCTGACCGTTTTGTTCCAACTGTGTGTGACGCGTATCTACATCTTACAAGGAATGTATTCGCCTAACTACATGATACAGTAAGATGTATTCACACAGTAAGTAATTGAATTATTATTGTTGAATGCGACTGAGTTCCAATGATACAAAACCGGCTGTCGGTCTAACTGCAAATAAGACATGTAAAGTGCAGTGTATTCTTGAATCTCTTTGATTTACTTTTAGAAGTCAAATACATCCAAGTTGCCAGTCTTTGGTTTTGCACTGCGCAACACTTTTCGTCCCTCAGGGTGCTGTATATATTTAGTGAGAGATCATTTTATATGGCTAGAAAATCGAACCGAAAGTTCATCTAGTAACTCTAACCTGCTTCAATATGATAACTCTGAGTTTCTTATTCTTTCGTTCAATGCCCGCTCTCTGCCCAATAAAATTATTCATCTTAAAACTCTTTTATTCCTTGTAAATCCAACCATTGTACTTATTACGGAAACGTGGTGTAATTCATCTATCCGATCATTCCTTGAATGTAGATAACTACGTTTTCTTTAGAACCAACAGATGTTATGGAATAAGAGGCGGTATAATTATCTATGTCCGTTCAGACATTCAAGCATGCAAATTTGGGGATAAATCCCTTGATGCTATAGACGACTCCACTTGGGTTACTGTAAACTGGGGGTCCCAAAATTATTTACTGGTGGGATGCATATATAGACCACCTCATGTGGAGACTAAGTTTGACAGATTATTAACAAACATATTTTCCATTGCTTCTCACCAACCGCATACTTTTAAAGCCATCGGAGGTGATTTTAATCTGCCAAAAATTACATGGGGCTTGACTCAGGTACCAGGTCGATATAACAAGCTAGTTGAAACATTAGAAATTTGTGGATGGGTTCAACAAGTCCGAAAACCGACCAGGGGGAATAATACACTTGATTTAATGTTCACAATCAACATAGACTCTATCTCAGCGCATACCAGTCATGAGTTTTTTATGAGTTGTATTGAGTATTATCCACTCTTTAAACGCCATACAATTGAACTCTAAAGCTTCATTAATGTACCAAAGCAGACATTTTGATCAACAAACATGGAAATGGACTGGAACTCTCATTCAATGTTTACCATGGGAAACTTATTTTACCACAAATAATGTTGACATTGCGCTTTCCAATCTATACCACAACCTGATATACTGCCTTGACTGCACTGCTCTAGTTATTGACCGTGTGGCTTATAATGCTAATAGGGGTCAAAATACTTTTAAAAGAAAGCTGAGGAAATTAAAATGCCGCTACTACGAGCAGAATGATGTGTATGCACTTCAGAGTATACTTAATTTAATCAACAGAAATGCTTCATCTGAACGTATTTTATGAATATAGAAAATAAAGCTCTACGCAGTAAAAGCCTAGAATTATCAATACTTCGGCTTTTTAAATCCCGTGTAGAGTCAAATTCCCTTGGCACGACTAAATTCTTCATAATTAACGGAAGCATTGTTAACGACCCGAATAAAATATGCGAACAATTCAGCAAGCACTTCTCGCAGTGCTACAAAACTGGAACTGAAAACTCCATCATTACATTTCCAATGCTGACATCCAGACATCTGTCGAAAATTGATTTTACACCCTCCAACATCAAGCAGGCCATAGCTGCCCTGAAAAAGTCTTATGATGGTGGACACGACGAGATTCCTTCATCATTTGTGAAATATGGAAGTAGAGAATTTCCACTATTTTTTTCGAAACTTTTCAATCTATCTATGGAATATAGGACCTATCCATCTGTATGGAAAACATCCCTTATCACCCCTAGATTCAAAACAGGACCACGTAGTGATATTATTAACTATAGGCCAATTAATTTGACATCCGTGCTCTCAAGAACCATGGAAAAAATCATCCACAAACAGCTATTATCATTTTTACTTTCGGCTAGTCTAATCAGCCCATCCCAACACGGGTTTATGACTAAACGCTCATGTTTCACATCGCACCTGGAGTTTTTTGATCAAATTACCCAGAAAAGAGATGTTGGTCAGTCAGTGAAAATTCTTTACTTCGATTTTAGTAAGGCTTTCGACAGTGTCCCACACAAACTTCTTCTTTTAAAACCCTCTTCATTTGGCATACAGAATCCCCTTTTATCTTGGTTCAAATCTTTTTTAGAAGAACGTAGCCAAATTGTTCACTTTGGATCTTGCTTCTCTAAACCTGTGAATGTAACCAGTGGGGTTATACAAGGAAGTGTGGTTGATCCATTACTCTTTCTCCTTTTTATCAATGACGTATGTTCCCTCTTTCAGTATGGTAAACCTTTCCTTTTTGCCGATGACCTGAAAGTAGTTTATTCATTCTCTTCTCCCACCAAAGAAAGCTATTTTTAAGCGGTAATCCAAGAGGAAATAAACAAGTTGTACGAATGGACTGTTTCGTGGAATTTGCCACTTAATGTTGACAAAAGTGGATTTATTCCCAACTGGTCACTGCATTAACTTAAATCTGACTGTACACAAACATACACACAAACCTCTCACCACTGTTCGTGACCTGGGTTTAAGATATAGCAACAGTCTGAACTTTTCTGAGCACATTATATCTCAAGTATCCAAAGCTAGAAAGCTCATCGGATTGATAATGATAAACTTTAATAATATCGAATCGAGATGGTTATTATACAGAAAATGTGTCTTACCCATTCTTGAATATGGTATTTTAGTTTACAGTAATTGCAGACATAATGACCTGATTAAAATTGAAGGCGTTCAAAGAAAGTTCACCAAAGCTGTTCTGGGGTATTCTGATAACAAAGACTATCACCAAAGATGTCAACAACTCAACTTAGAACCTCTTTGGATCAGACGTATCAAATTAAATCTTGTCTTTATCTACCGGCTTATTAACGGTATTTCCTACTCTTCGGTATCCACCCCTTCAAACCTTATGATATCATCCCACAATCTACGCAATAAGGAGAATATTCTAGCGATTCCAAGAACTCACACAAACTTACGTCAGAATTTTTTCCTTATTCGCTACTCAACCATGTGGAACAGACTGCCAGTGAACCTCCATTGCAGTGAAACTACAACCCGTTTCAGAAGTCTGCTTGAAGATTTTCTTTCCGAAAGTGGATTATGTCACTTATTGAATATCAATGTATTCAATAATGATTTATACAAACAAGGTCCGTCATCCATTTAATTGCCTGAAAAGCAAAATGAAACCTTTGAATCTCTTCACGTCTATTTTATTTTATTTCTATTTATCTTAATATATGAAG